AAATTTTATACTTATATTACATATGAATTATAAAAATTACAACATCCACCTGCCATTGATTTTTTACAATACTACCAATTTTAAGTTTAACTTTTCGTAAATCTTCTTTACCCATTCACTACTATCGACCGCTACAACACAAAAATTTATAAGCAACAAAATTCTACTTTAAAACAATAATGTTTTATATTGGCGAATAAAAATTTGCATTAATTTCATATAATAAAAGGTGGAAGAGTTATATATCTAATTTCAATTTTTCATTAAATTAATGAAAACTAACAAATAAATGACACATCGAAATAATTGTGGCATAATAATGAATGCAAAATATCAACTTCGAATATTGCAATTAATGACAATTTTTTTTTATTTTTACCTCTCATTGAGCTAATATTAAAGAGTAATTCAAGATAAAAAAAAAATGGATGTATAAAAATTTCGAAAGAAAAATAAAATGACAATATTTAATGCTATGAAATGAGAATATTATTGTTCCTTGAAGGAACAATAAAAGTTACTATACGAAATAAATGATTTTGTTAATCATTTTTAATGCTAAAATCACAATACAATCTTTTCAGGCACAAATTAGTATAATCTTGTCAAGCCTAAATTAATATAATCTTTTTGGGCCTGAATTGACACAATCTTATCAGGCCTTAATCGATATAATCTTGTCAGCTCTAAATTGATTATAATCTTGTCAGAATTAATTTAATATAATCTTGTCAGGCCTAAATTAATAAAATCTCTCAGGTTCAAATATAATTTTGGGAGGTTTAAATTAATATAATCTTGTCAGGCCTAAGTTACTATAATCCTTTTGGACGTACATTAACAAAATCTTGTCAGGCCTAAATTAATATAACTTTTTTGGGACTAGATTAACATAATCTTATCGGGTCTAAATTGATATAATCCTGTCAGCCCTAAATTAATTATAACCTTGTCAGAATTAAATTAAATATAATCTTCTCAGGTGCAAACTAATATAACCTTGTCAGATCTAAATTAATTATAATCTTGAGAGGCTTAAACTAATGTAACTTTGCTTTTTCTTCTGCTCGTTTTATTTGCATCGTTGAATGATAACGAAGTAAAAGAGCGGTAATTGTCCACGATGAGATCAATGATATGCCAATCCAATGCCTTCCATTCCAATGATCCGAATATGCATATTGGGACCATATTTGTGCAATTAAAGTTAGCATACAAATCTATAATGTTTATTCATCTAAAAATTAAAGCAACAAAACAAAGAAAATTTCATTACAAAAAAGAAAAACAAAAATTATAATTTAGTTTCATAGTAAAATTTGAGGGGATTTTTTATTTCCCTTCATAATTTAGAATTTTACTATATTTTTTAAAATTGTTATTAATGAAATAACAAAAAATTTTTGAGATTTTCCTGCTTTTTTTTCCAATCAAATTCTTTCTAGGAGATAAGAATTGATTGAAATTGATATCAAATTATGGAAAATAGTAATTAAATGGAAATGATAGAAATTTACAAAAAAAAAAAAACATACTATAAATCGTGTATCGATAACCACAAGACGATCTTTTGATTTTTCCCAATGTAACGCATTGTTACTGACCACATAAGAGGTCAAGAAATCTGTACCCATAAGTCGAGCACAAAATTCATGCGATTCACCCAAATGTACAAAAACCTAAAAAATTAATTTTTTTTTTCACTGAAGTTTAATTCAAATTAAAATTTTTTTTAAAGAAAAATAAATAAATAAATCCTCCACAATTAGCATTTATAATAATAAATTAGACAATTTTCCATTAGTACCAATT